AAAGAAAGTAGGAAGGGAAAAATGAAGGGGGGGAATTAGAGGGGGAGACGAACCATGAGAGACTGTGGACTCTGAGAAACAAACTGAGGGTTCTAGAGGGGAGCGGGTGGGGGGATGGGTCAGCCTGGTGATGGGTATTAAAGAGGGCATGTATTGAATGGAGCACTGGGTGTTATATGCAAACAATGAATCATGGAATACTCCATCAAAAACTAATATTGTAATGTATGGTGATTAACATAACATAATAAAATAAAATTAAAAAAGAATTTTGGCCTGTTTGAAAACATATGTTGTTCTTAGTTTGATAAGGGAAAGAGCTCTCCTTCCTTCCTTAGTTGTTGGCTGGTTCTCTTTTTTGTTCTGTTGAGTCCTTTTTTCCCTTTCTTTATGTAGTTAATTGGAACCTTGAAAAAAAAAAGGTGAATGCTTCTTTGTGTATGAATATGTGTGTGTGTATGCATATATTATACATATATATATCATGATGTCTTATTTCTCATTAGGTTGAATTTGAAGATGGGTCCCAGATAGCAATGAAGAGAGAGGATATCTATACTTTAGACGAAGAATTACCCAAGAGAGTGAAAGCTCGTTTTGTAAGTGCTGGCCAATACCCCTCAGGGATCTCTCTCTGTTTCCCAAGCCCAGCAAGAAACATACTTAGGCCTTTGGGTTGATTTTCAGGAAAGCCAGTACAACTTTTCCCTTACTTAGGCAAACCTCAACTTTGGCCCCAAACAGAAAACCAGTGCAGGTTCCTTGTTTTCCTTTCTAATGAGGTCAAATGATGTAACACTTATTGGCATACCAAAATAGTTGTTGAATACGTACTCTATGCAAGGCACTAGGAGCATACAAAGGTACCATCCAGGCATTTATAATCTTGTTAGCAGAAGCAACATTAAAGGAAGTTTTCAGTAGTAGATTGAAGGGGACATGGTATAAATGAACGTCTGGTTTTCTATAGCCTTATCATATATTGATTAACGTCTCTCCAGAAACTCATTAATGGTTGTGTCAGTTCATAATTAAACCAAGCTCTCACTTTTATAACTAAAGGAATTTAAAAAAGCCCCAAAACTAGGTGTGGGAATACTAAAGCTGTTTTTTTGAAAAAAGAAAATGTTTTTAGTTTCAAGCTTTATACATGCCATTAAAAAGACAAATAAACATGGACAAATAATCAAAACTGAAGTTGTTAAAAAAATATAATTCACAATAACTTAGTTTTCATTATTGTATCATAAAATATTTAGTGGACCCTGAAATGAAGTCAGTTTTACTCATTTAGAATTGCATCTACTACATCTGCGAAATAATAAATCCTGAACAGGGAAATTTGAATGGGATTTTTTTAACTAAAATGAAATTTTTTTTCAGAATAAATGACACCCTTCGTTTTCAGTGAATGCTTATGATATACTTTTCTGCAATGATAGAGTTACCTTAATTTGGAAAATCATTGGATTCCTTAAATCTTCAGTTGTATATTTAGCTCCTTTTCCAGTCAGGTGGGGTCCTGGGAACAGGGTAACTGCACCAGGTATCAGCTGACTTTATGAGCTTCACCCTTGAGAGGAAGGTCTTTCAGAGTATATCAAGAGCAGAGTGATAGTATCAGCTCTGCTACTCATCTGGGAGAAACGTGACACAGAGGGGACCCACACACCTGAAAATAGATTAACCACCAGATGAACTGCAGGGAAGAGAAGATCAAATATTCCTCATGTAAAGACATTGGTTAATTCCTAAAAAAAGATCTAAGAAATCTGTCCATGCCCTACATCTTAAAAATCTCTTAAGAACAACTTTCTTCTTCAAGATGCCAAAGATGGCTGCCTCTCATGCTGTGCTCCTGTCTTCCATAGATTCTCCCTCCTCTCTCTGCCCTCCCTTGCTCCCCCTCCTTTATTCATTCATTCATTCACTCATTCACTCATTCATTCACCTAGAGATTGAAGGATGGGGAATGGAGTAGGTAGTCCTCTCTAAGTCTCTCAGGTCTTTGATTTTCTAATGCATATGTGATTAAGCACCAGCTGGGTTTTGTAAATTTCAAATACTGTTTCTTAATCATATTAAAAGAACGCCTTTTACTTTCTGCTCAGCTCACAATCTCTTTGTTCCATAATAGATTTGTCTTCAATACCAGGTTGCCTTCCTGCATAGCCTTTTTTGAACCCAGCTCCTGAATTTCCTAAGATCCATTTCTCTGAACAATCACACCAACATCCAACTTTTTTTTTTAATTCTCAGAGAAAATTTTTTAATTAAAAAGAGTCAGTAAAAAATACGTAAATCACATATATTATCTGAGTGTAACCTGTTATGTCAAACAATTGAACCTAATAGAAAATATCTTCAGGAACAAAGGCTCATAGTTACTAAATCCAGTTTGCTACCTCTGTTTTTATTGAATCGAAGACTTATGTGCTCTTGTTGTAGCAATCCAGCCTTTCCTTCAGGTTTGTATATAACCCTCTGGCCCTTGGTTGGTCTATCTATGACTGCTATTTTTTTTTCCAGTTGGTGAAACAAATCTAATTGGAAAACTCATTGATGGAAGATATTTTATGATTAGAGAAATCTCTTTTGTTTTTTTAAAGGAGGGGTGGGTTAGCAGCCTCACTGCTAAGTAGGAGGCCTCATATTTTAATGACTGCTGCTCACCCAGACACACGCTGACTTGGGAAGAAATTTTTCAAAAGAGTCAGCAGTCCACCTCGGTGATTTTGCAGGGGTTCTTTCCCACTAACCTCAGAAATGGCCCTATTACCTTTTATTGTCTCACAGAATAACCATGGCAACGGTGCATAATTAAGTAGAGCTGCTGGTAAATCGGTTTTATTATTGTATTTGAGAGGCTGACTTTTGCTGTTCTCACACAGTGGCAACACTTTCATAGATGTTTTATTTTCTCCTTTGATAACTTGAGCACTTATAAAAGGGAAAGATTACTCATAGGAAGTACTTTGCCAAGAATGAATGAAACAAAAATGTTTTCTCCTAATGGCAGAGGGTGCCCAGCCAACCCATAATCTTTTATTTTCTTCCCGAGTGAAACAAGGTAGTGTCTGGGGGTCCATGCAAGTAGCCTGTTACCCTAGATAACCATCTTATGAACTGGCGGGGAACATGCCTGCTGTGCACCTGGGTCCATTTTTTAGTTTTCAAGCTTCTTTGTAACTGTTCCATTGTTTATCTCTTCTTCATGACTGACCATGTGTTTCAAGTCCTCAAAGCTGGGACTCTGTCTCTGTCACCAACCAGAGCAGGTGGCCTCAGTGACAGTAGATGCACTGGGCATCGGCATCCTCTGGAGTGATCTACCTCGTGAAAATCAGTTAGAAATGCATTTTAGGAGACAAAATAATAGGGAATTGGGAAGCAAATATAGTGTCTTAACGTAGCCTTTACCTGAGCATAACAGAAAAGGCCCACATTCCTTCCACCTGGCTAACACTTAATTGAGCAGTGACTGAGTTGCTGGGTGTGGAGAACATGTAAAAATCAGTACTCCCTAATATCCTCACACTCAAGGGGTTCAAGGAATCCCTGGTGGGGAGAAAGTTAACTGCCCCTCATCTCTGCCACTGACCTCATTCTACTGCGTTGACACATAAAGTCTTATAGGAACCAAAAGAAGGGCCCTCAGGTTTGCCTGTGGCAGAGAAAATTGAACAGTGTCCATGCAAAGGGAAAGTACATCCAATGACAGAAAAGCATGAGCCAGTAAGGTGTGGCCAGGAACTGCAAGTAATTCTATCTGACCAGCACATGGGGTAGGATTTTGCTAAGTTATGTAGGTCTAGAGAGCTTGGATGCCCTCTTCAAAGACGGCACAGCTATTGAAAGAGATGATAATCAGGGATGTCATATAATCGGTTAGTTTGTAGAGCACTTTCTTCTAGTGGTACTGTAGAAAATAGCCTGGGGGTGCGGCATTTGCTGCAGTGATTTCGGGGAGGAAATGTGAGGCCTGTACCATGGGACCAGCAGGGACAAAGAAGGAAGGATGGAGGGCTTCAAGGAACATGTAGAAGGGGACCTGGACGTGGTGGGGATGGGGGACATTTATAGTGACTGTTAGGTTTCTAAACAGTGTAGCTACATGGATAGGATAACTATGCCATGTATGGAATATAGGAAGGATAGTAATGGGGAGGGAAGACTGTGAGTTCAATTTAGGGCAGGTTGATTTGAAGTGCCCCTGGGATCAGTACTCTGAGATGCCTGCTGAGCAGTTGGACATGCAGGCCTGTGCACAGAAGGAGGTCTGAACTGGAGTGAGAGATGTGAGCATCCTTGGAGAAGAAGCAGGAATTGAAGCCAGGAGTGTGGGTGTGAGGGCTCAGGGAGCATATGTGCAGAAGAGAAATGCAAAACATCAGGAGCATCAGAGTTGAACAGATAGTTAAGAAAGGAGAACCCCTGAGACATCAACAGTGAGCAACCAGAGGAAGAAGAGAGGCAGGAGGAAGGGCTTATAAAGTGTCAGAGATGAGAGCAATTCCAGCAATACCATTTAGGATGAAAAAGTGTCATAGGAACTGGACTGAAGCAAGGACAGTTTCAGGGAAGGCCCAGAGGTAAATAGGAGTGGGGTGAATTAGAGATGACTGTTGATAGATTTGTCAAAAACCTGGTTGGGAAAGAGCCAGAGGGGAGATGGCGAGTGAGGGAGATTTAAATGAGAAGACTTTCATCCTGCTTCTGCTGGGGGTGGGAGATCCTGAAGAAAGTTGGGGCTACATGGAAGCAGGAGCCTGGATGGAGCAGGTGGGAGGCCCCAAATCCTGGGCTAGTAGCCGGGCCTCTGCTCGCCACCCCGAGCTGGCTAGATCAGATCTTTGTCCATTCTTGTTATGGTCAAATGCTGTGCTGGCTAGATCAGATCTTTGTCCATTCTCGTTATGGTCAAATGCTGTGCTTTCCGCAGCATGACGCTGGCTCTTTCTAGTCCACAGCCTCTGATATGCGATTTGAAGACACATTTTATGGAGCAGACATAATCCAAGGGGAGAAAAAGAGACAAAGAGTGCTGAGCTCCAGGTTTAAGAATGAATATGTGGATGATCCTGTGTACCGCACTTTTTTGAAGAGCTCTTTTCAGAAAAAATGTCAGAAGAGACAATAACCTGCATATGCTGCTACAGGCAACAGAGCAACGTGGGCCAGAAAAGGAAAGATGAAGGGACAACCTTGGGGACGTGCGATGTGTTTCACTGGGGTAGGTGACGGGGTATGTCTCTGACAGTGGAAAATTAGGCTTTTCAGAGTTTGGTCACCTGGACCACAGATTACAAGTGTTATTAATTGGACACAACAATCTGAAGTCCTCCCCTAGTCTTGCTTTCACTTGTGAGCAATTGTCTTCAGTGATCCCAAAGAATCTAAGTGAAAGGAAATAATAGTGAATCTCCCACCAAAAAGACTCACTGACAGAGGCGGTGGGTCCTCACCTGTGGCCTAATTAGGCCCTTAGGAAACACATGGAGACTTCTCTCCCTAACCCCAGCAAGTGGGAGCCTCGATACCCAGGTAAGAGGGTGATAATTTATATAATTTCCGCAGTCAGGGAAGGACTCTCACTTATTTGTTTTAAATGGCAGTTTTTATAAAACATTTTTAAAACACAAATGGCCTGTATGGTAATGAGATTTACCCGTGTGCTATCTGTAATTTCCCTTGTACAGAACTTTTACATTTTTTTATATCCCTATTACTTTTGATTGTGTCTGATGAGAACTGAGTTGTTGGCCTTTGTGAAATTTTTGGCTCTTGAGAAAGAATTCTTATGAATTGTATGGGAATTTTATATATTTAAAGAGGGAGATCTGGGGCTGTTATTTTTAAACACTTTTTTTTCATAATATTCTGAGTAGATATTTATAAAATATATTTCTTTCATTATGTGTTTGTAAAATTAGAGTTTAAATAAATATGCTTTGATGCATAGTTTTCAACTAATATGATTTTTCCTTTTTAAAACAGCCTGAAAATGTACTAGTGTTTAAAAATAAAGATTTCCTTTTTCTCCAATTCTGCTTCTGACTTGCTTTTTTGTTTATGTTTAAATCAACAGAAAAACAAGTTTTCTTTAGGAGCTGTCTAAAAAGTTTGTCAGGCCCTTCTTCGTTCACAGACTTTTTACATAACTGGACACATTGCCAGACCTTTCAGACATGTCCCTGGGCATAAAGGCTCCTCTGCCTGCCCACAGGGCCAGCTGAAGTGTTTCCCTCAGCTCCTTCTAGCCTTGAAGAACCCTGAGCACCTAGAGTCTGGAGCTTTTTTCATCCCAGGTTTCTTGGTCCCCGGTTACCTTTAGAAAAGGCTGTATGGACCCTCCAGTCCCTCCCCTCACTTTATAGATGAGGACAGGCAGGGAAGAGATTGCCTAGGGTCACAGAGTCCTTAGTGACTGCTTCAGTTAACTATGGTCACAATCACGCTACATTACAGACAACTGCAAAATCTCAGTGGCCAGCCATGGGAAGCACTTGTTTTGTTTATGGGCCTGCAGGTTGGCTGTCCTGAGCTGGGCTTGGCTCGGCAGCTGTGCTGACCTTGCCTTGGGCTAGCTCACATGTCTGCTCCACATGTCTCCCATCATCCCACTGGACCCAGTGTGCTAGCTCAGGTATGTTCTTCTCATGTCAATGGCAGAGGCCGAAGAGCTTGTGAGCCCAGCCAAGTAAGCACATTGCAGTCCGCTCTGTGGTGTTGGTTAACATCCTATGGGCCAAAGCCCAGAGCCAAGGATTCAAGGGCATTTCAAAGTTTCATGGCAAAGAGTGAGGATGTATCATGTTACTGGGTAGAGAGTACAGAACTGAAACTGCAATAACAGAACCACAGTTAAATCTCAGTTCTCCAGACCACCTGCTGGCTGAGGGCTCTTTTTCCAGAGTGCCTCATGCCTGAACTCTGAGCTGGGGAAGAGCCCACCAGTCTTACTTTTACAGGGATTGAGCACTCCACATTCCCTACCAGTATCGTCATATATTTTATCAAGTAATCAAGCTTGTTTTTTCTATCTCCAGGTTTTGAATGGAGCTGACCTGCCTTCTCCACGATATGCCAGGGAAGTAGGCCTGTGTAAGGCATTAAGAAGAATTAATCTAAATAGGATCATTCGTTCTGTACAAGTTTGCCTGTCAGCAAGATTTCTGATTGGCTGCCACAGGGAGGAAATGTGCAGAGTCCTATGTGATCTCAAATACAGCTGTTTTTTATAGGCCCACTTAACTAATATTCCTATAACCAAGTACAGCTGTATATGGCCTCAGCAAAATACTGCTGGCCACAGATGCACTATGGCTCTTGAGAAAGACACCTTTGTTTCACTGCATTCTGCGTAAAGTCATTATTAGCTCCATGACCAGACAGATCGTTAAAGCTTTTTCACTTACTGTATGACACTTCAATTGTAATTTTAATTTCTTTGCGTTACACTAACTGCATTTTTAGTGTGTATGTGTAGCATGAAATCAGTCGAAGCCTAGCTTCTGGTATTAAAAAAATTGCTAGCTGTGACAATTCTAATGTAAATCTAATGGCAAGCCCTTTCTCTGGAGGTTAGAGGATTAATAAAAACTGCCTGGCATATTTCACAACATTTTAGTTCCTTTATGTGTGTTTGAAATGAGAACAGTGTGATTCTTGTCAGTTTACTTTTATTAAGGTACTTTTGTTTAGTTCATCTAGAGAGAAATTGAGAAGAAGCATCCACTAAAATATCACATGGCTTCTTGGAATACATTATAAATTGCTACTGGCTAATAGTGTATGAAAACATGTAGACTCAGAATACAAAAAGATGTAGGAGTGAATGGGTCTGTCACTTCTCCCTGTACCCATCCAATGTGAAACAAGGCTGAAATGTGTATGGTACTGTTAATGACTGGGAGGTCTTGTGAGTAATCATATTGGAGCAGTATATGCTGCAAAATAACATTGTGCACTTTCTTTTTTTTGCCTTTAAGTAAAAGGGATCTGAAATGAAACTTTATTTCAGATATTAATCAGCCTCATAAACTTGAAGCTAACTAGAGGCATTTTCATTACATGAATTGTAATTGGTTGGTTGCAAAACTCAATTGTACTACAATCTCTTTCTGAGAATTCAGATTTGCAGTCATTGCAAATGTTACTCATGCTTTCGCCCAGTATGTTGTTAGAGATATATAGCACTGACTGGTGGGGAGAAGGCTTCCTGGCCTCTGAGGAGGCCTGACCTCTCCAGCAAGTGGACTAACAACTCAGAAATCTCACACTCCATCCTCAGTAGGTGCAGGACCCTTGAAGAAATTGAACTTCATTAAGAGCAGATGATATTAACGATGTCTTGAGTACCTATTGTGAATACCAAGCCTGGTAGGCTCCTTAGTGGCATTTATTTACCTTGTTTAACCTCCCCCAAGAAATCAACAAAGTAACATTACCTGCTTTCATGGAGGGAAACCAAGGCTCTAAGTAACTTGTAAATCACTTAACCCTCTTGATGCATGAACAAAAAAGGATTCTAAACATGACCCAAACGAAAGACATTGGATAGACAACTTTGAAGCCCAGAAGACAGCACTAGAGGTATAAATGAGGAAGGCATCATTTTTATTGGTAGATGTTTAAAATGCATGGAATCTACCTTCTGGCAAAGGCAAAACTGTAGAGACAGAAGAAAGATCGGTGCTTGCCAAGGACTGGAGGTGGGGGAGGGATGGACAACAAAGTGGGGTATGAAGGAATTTTGGGTGGTGGTGGAGGAAATATTCTTTTTCTTGATTATGGTGGTGGTAGCAGGACTGTATGTTTGTCAAAAATCATAGAACTGAACACTGAAATAGGTGGATTTTACTAGATGTAAATATCACCTCAGTAAACCCGACTTAAATCTAGGTGAACAGTGGACAAAACTGTGAGAGGGAGCATGTCTTGTGTGAAGAGGACAACAAATGTGAAGAGAGAGGTCAGAGCCCTGGGAGAGCTAAACAGATGGGTAGAAAAAGAGGAGCCTGGGAATGAGCACTGAAAGGGAAAACCAGGATGCTCTGATGTCCCAGACAGCAAGGGAAGACAGTGTTCCCAAAAAGGAGGCGTGGTTGACAGAAAATGCAGCAGAGTCCCAAGTAAGATCATGTAATTGTTTATTAGGAGGCCAATAGTGACCTTGGTAAGAGCATTTCAAGTGATTTCAGATGACATTAACATTCAAATTGGTGTTCCCTGTTGGACAGGCATCACCTCTTTCTTCCATTTCCCTTCCTCCCTCAATCTCTCCCCCTCCCCTTTCTCTCTCAAGATTTTCTTCTTTGTCATTAGTTTTCAGAAGCTTGACAATAATGTGTCTTGGCTTTGATTTCTTTGGGTTTACTTCATTTGGGATTTGTTTAACTTCTTGACCTTTCACCAAATTTGGGAAATTTTTAGTCATTATTTCTTGGAATATTTTTTTAAATTCCACACTCTTCTCTCCATCTGGGACTTCAGTGACAGAAATGTTGGGTCTTTTGTTGTTGTTCTTACATGGGTCCCTGATCTTTTTTTTTTTTTAAGAAATGAAAAATTTTTTAAAGATTTTATTTGTTTGAGAGAGAGAGCAAGAGAGAGAGAGAACACGAGCAGGGGGAGGGGCAGAGGGAGAGGGAGAAGCAGACTCTGCACGGGGCCCACTACCGGGCTCGATCCCAGGACCCTGGGATCATGACCTGAGCTGACGGCAGACGCTTAACCAACTGAGCCACCCAGGCGCCCTTCTTAGCAGTAAATTCTAAAGAGATATCTCATGTGGGTCTCTTACAGGAGACATTATAGGAGACATTTAATGATGTAGGGACAAGGCCCTTAATAATGGTGCCACTGGAGCTGTAGAGATAAGGTGCTTGTGCTTCCTTTGACAAAAGCCCAAGGCAGAGAGCTTTGCAGGGGTTAACATAGCCTGGATGCAGAGAGGTGCCCAAGGATGTCTGGCTCTGGGGTCAACTAAGTATCAAAGACAGAAGAATATGTTTAAAAAATCTGAGAAATATGAAGAACAGCATATGAAGCAGATATTGGGAGCAGTTTTACAGCCAGAAAAGTAAAACAGGAAAGTGAGAGGAGCATCCTGTGGGTGTGAGGATAGCCAGGATGTATCTGGGCTGCCAGCAAAAATTGATCCAAGGTTTAGATAGAAAGGTCTCTACTTCCCCAAGGACTGGGAAGGGACAAGAAAAGCCCTAGGTAATTTGGAACTAGTCACTGAAGGCTTGCATCTGCTGTTGGGAATAAAGCATGTGGCCCAGGGTCTGATGACTAAGCAGGGGAGGCTTAATTGTGTCCTGTGTTCCTTGTCAGTGTATTATTATACTCAGAGTATTCTAAACTTGGTAGAAAATTTGTTAGGCCTTTGATGTGCTTATTCTTCAGAAGGAGACTTGACAAAATAGGAAGGCTTCTGGGTTCATTAACTTTAAATATGCCGTAGAAGCTAAAAGGAAGGCAAGTTGTATTCTAGTTAGGAAGTTGGAGAGACTTCCTGGAGGAGGTGTCTTTAGGATTTAGGGCTTGATTGATGTGGAGGATGTTGGAGCTGATTGGCAGCGTTGACAGCCAAGAACTTGGGGACAGGATAGATAACTGTGGGGGAGTGGTTAGGCGTGGCCAGGGTGTGTGTTGTTGGAAGAAAGTTGAGACATGAAGACTGAAGGCAAGATCAGGACTTGCTTTGGAGGGTCTTGAATTCTAGGACAGAAGAGCAGCAGGCATCAGTGGTTGGTGTCAGCTCTCATGGACAATGGGAGGCGTATAGATCCAAAAGTGGGGTGGTAGTTGTTGTATATGGGTGTTAGGAATGTTACTTCTCTCCCCTGTGTCTGTTGCCTAAGTATCATTTTTCATGTCCCGAGAGCCAGACTGTAATCTCCTTAACAACTGCTAACATTACTTGAACTCCTACTATGAATCCAGGCACTGTACTGGGGGCCTTATATATTTGATCTGCAGTCAATGAACTAGGTATAATTTTATAGCAAGTGAAGGCTGATAGAAGTTGG